AAAAAAGGATGTGGCCATTCTTTGGTAAGTACATATTTTATCAGGAAACAGAATAAATCAATAATGCAGTAGAAGCAATAGCAATTCCCAATAAATTAACTGAAGCCATAAAAATAACATTTAACAAACACCTTCATTCAATAAAAATAAACTTACCAGAGAAAATACAAAAAGTTATACAAACACAAGAATGGTATGAAAAAGAACCTCTGCAAGTATTTCAAAAAGTAAGAATATATACTCTTCAAGAAAAAATTTCAAAGAACCCAACGGATAATATCATAATACAGACCCAAAAGGCCAATAATCCTTCTCTTTATAACACAAAGACATACATATTCACTGCTTTACACAGAGAAATAAAGAGTCGATTTTTTCAGACTTCTAAATTATAGATCATAAGAGTTTTCACTGCAAATATATGCTTCACATAAAAATCAATATTATAATATTTCAAACGATTCATTATTCACTAGAGCCGACCAAAAAAATTTAACTTTTTGCACAAAGAAAAAAAAATGAAAAAAACAAACCGGAAACTAGTTGAAACAGTAGATTACAATTACATGAAAGGAAAATTAGGAAAACCGATTAGCAACGCGCAAGAAATTTAAAATCAATTGACGGCGTATGAAGAACATACCTATCCCTAGCTTCAAATTCCAAATTATTATCTCCTACAGACGCCTTAATTTCTGAATCATTATTATCAGAACCCCCGCCGTTAACCCTCCCAAAGCGTCCATCTTCTCCTCCGCCGGGCGGAACTGGAAGAGCAGCCGGTTCAGAAGAAGGTTCCTCGGCCGAATTCCCAAATTTTCCATCAGCAGCAGCAGCAGGGGCAGGGGCTTTTCCAGAATTCGGGAAATTCTTGCGGAGGAGCGGTGGTTTCTGGAGGCGCCTAGAGCGCAGCTGGAGGTAATCCGTCTTGGGAGGCGGAGAGGCATCGGCGGAGGACCGGAGGCGCTGCAGGGCTAGGGTTTTGGCACGGGTACGAACGCCAAGGTAGGATTGAGAGGCATCCTTAACGGCAACGTCACCGGAAGTTTTGGGTTTTCGAATGTATTTGCCCATATTTTCTCAGGTAAAGGTGCTTCTCAGGTTACTGCAGTCTACAGAGGTGATTTCATGAAAGGGGGTAGAGAGAGACGAAGACTTGCGGGTTGTGACGGGTGGGGGAGGTTTTTCAAAGTTTAGGGTTGCATTTGGGTGGATATATATATATCGAAGTTTCCCAGCCTAATTATCATAACTAGTGTTGTACCCGTGCATACGAGCTAGTACTATTAAGGAAAGTTAGATTTGTATAATGGGATAAATGGTCATAACGTAAAACTCATATGTTGGAATAAAATGAATTGTTATTTATATATTATTAAATACCTCTTAAAAATACGGAATATTTTTTATTTATTTTTTGCTACATCGTCACAACTTAAAATCTTTAAACTTTTAGTGTTCGTGATGCGTAAAAAACCATCAGTGAAAAACGCGATTAGCCTTAGGAAGCCTTAAATATTAACCCGACTCTTGTTTATTATTATGGCGCAATAAATCATCCGTGAAAAACACATTAGCCTTAGGAAGCCTTAAATATTCAACAATTTCTAATTCATAAAAATTATTTGGAAAAAATATCAGAAACAAATATATTAATACCTAAAGAGTTTATAATTTGACAGATGTAAAATGAAATTCCAAAGATAAAGGTGCGAGACATACACAGGGTGATTTTGTTAACTATAATTTTATTTGTTATAATTATTTATAAATAATGAACATTAGATTAGATATTTATAAAACATTACACTAACCAATCTATATAAACAATTGGACTAAAGTAAATGGACAAATTAATGACCCATTATTCATATAACATTATTGGCATTATATATTACATTTAAAAGCCTATTTAAAATGGGCCAACTGATTAAAAAAATTTAAGGCCTAGATGGACAACAACACGGGCCACATATATATATATTCTGAGGTTCATAAGTAAACAAATATAATAAGCCTAAATTGCGTATCTAGCGGCTAAAAAAAATCAAATAACAATGAGTTTTATCCCTAAAATATCGTGTTATGTCCAAAAGGTCTTCTTTTTTTATGTTAATCGGCCGAGTGTTCTTTCTACAAAAAATAGAAGCTCGATCGGTGTAGCTATTTTCGGATTTTAATTGGTCACCGTTGATTTCGTTCGTCATGGTATACAAAAATCATATATGTAAAACTATGATTTACGAAATCTTCAAGTGAGTATAGATCCATATTTGGGAAAGACAAAGATGATGCCAATTACAATAATATATTTATAATCTTAAAGGTAATTTCATATTTTTAACTTTTTATTAAAAATTTTATTTTGAACTCACACGATTTGGTTTTCTGATAAAAATTGCTTGTTGAGTCAATTAGCTTCAAATGTTTTATGAATGGATTGATGTCAGATCTAAAGTACCATGATTTCCCCAACACCCGAACTTCGGCAGAGACACTCCCTGCAAAAGACCGAGGGGAGGCTTCAAGGCCCCAACCACCGAGGACAAGCGACCACCTCCCCCAACCAGAGCCACCTAAAACAGCAAGCCGCCGGACTCCACACGAGGGAGAAGGAACGTGAATCTCACCCACCGACCGTCGTGAGCCAATCCGCCGAATCCACCACATACAGCCAGAGACGAGGGAGACCGGCATCAGGGACAAGGCAGGCAGTCGCGGCGACCGCCGGCCCGGCCTCGCCGACGCCGGAGGAGGTGAAATCGATCGAAAGAGAGGCGGCGAAGGTTAGGTTAATTTTTGGGGAAAAATCGCAGGAGAGAGAGAGAGCTATAAAATATTAGTGTTCAATAATGACCCATTATTCATATAACATTATTGACATTATATATTACATTTAAAAGCCTATTTAAAATGGGCCACCTTATTAAAAAAATTTAAGGCCTAGATGGACAAGAATGCGGGCCACATATATAGATTTTGAGGTCCATAAGCAAACAAATAGCCTAAATTCCATATCTAGCGGCTAGAAAAAAGTCAAATAACAATGAACGAATGAGATTTATTTTCACATGCCAATATAAGATGAAATCAGATTTTTCATTTTTGTGTGGGTTTCATCCTCACTTCACCTTTCTCTCCGCCGCATGAGTTTTATCCCTAAAATATCGTGCTATGTCCAAAATGTCTTCTTTTTTTATGTTAATCGGCCGAGTGTCTTTCTAAAAAAAATATAAGCTCGATCGGTGTAGCTATTTTCGGATTTTAACTGGTCACCGTTGATTTCATTCATCATGGTATACAAAAATCATATTTGTGAAACTATGACTTACGAAATCTTCAAGTGAATATAGATCCATGTTTGGGAAAGACGAAAATGATGCCAATTACAACAATATATTTATAATCTTAAACGTATTTTCATTTTTTTACTTTTTTTTTTAATTTTTTATTTTGAACTCACACGATTCAATTTTCTGATAAGAATTGCTTGTTGAGTCAATTAGCTTCAAGTGTTTTTATTCGGATTCCATGCAAAATGGGACTCTTTCCAATTATTCAGCCACTTACTTTATACATACAAAATATTGTAGAGATTTTATGGAATGAATGTTGTACGACCGATTTTTACACGTGAATGAATATGTATATAAATTTTATAATAATTGATGCTAACAGATTCCTTCCAAATAGGAACACAAAGTTATGTTCAGCAGAGTTATTCAAAATTTTGAAATTGATTGCACGAATATTTTGTTAACTACAAACGATTTTAAAGGGGTTAAATTTTTTATACAAAAAAGAAACATTTAATGCAACAATTAAATGGAGATAAAATCTATACTATTAATAGAAAGAATTTAATGTTATTCGAGTTTGACTAAGTATTTGACTTGCCGTTTTTAAAAAAAGTTATTCTTTTTATATAAGTATAGATAGATATGGTGTTTCAAAATTAAATTTTGTATTTTGTACTCCCTCTGTTTCATTTTAGATGTCGTTTTAATTTAAAACTTCTAAATTACGATTTTCATAGGATGTATAATAATCTTATATATTAATCCTCATAAATTTAGTGTTTGAATTATTAATGGTTGATTTTTAAAGATAATGATAAGAATAAAGTTTGTTAAAGAGGATAAAGTTGAAAGAATGAATAAAATATTTTCAACGACAACTAATTTGTAGAAATGTTGACATCCTACAACGACATGTATTAAGAAACAGAGGGAGTAATTATATGTGGAGAATTTTAATTTTAGGGAATCGTATTTGTTCGGATTTGAATGATATATTGTTAGTTTTTCAGATTTTCATATTTAAGAGAAATTTTATGAAATTTTAAGTCTGATATTTAGAGTGAGATTTTCGAAATTATAACGAAGGCGCGCATCTTTTTCACCTAACTATAAAAATATATTAAGTTTTAACACCAACTACTAATAATTTAACTTTTTCACCTTACAAAGTCAAAATGTTATGCGAGTGAACCGTACAACTGTTTCAGACTGCATAATTGTCGAATATTCATCGCATAATATCTTTGCACTCTCACGTTTTCACCCCAGAAAGTGCGAATGGTTATGCCAATGGACCTCATATCACCGCACGCACTTTTTGGAAAAAAAATTTAATTTATCAACAAGCGGTGTGAAAAATATAATATATTTCTACGGTGGGAGAGCAAAAGTTATTTTCACATTCATAAATGAGGTGTTTCTCAAAATTAAGTAAAAAACAATTGAGGTCTAGACATCATATGTGTTAATTTCTCTATGTATAAATATAAGGGGTGTTTGGTTTAAGATTTCAATTGTCATTTCAAATGCTTTTCAGATGTGAGACTTTTTATTCAGATTTAGCAGAAAATTTATGAAAATCTTAAGTTTGGAGTTGGGATTTGGTGAGAGATTTCGTATATAGTTTTTTCTTTTGAAATTTCAACAAATCTTAAAAAGTCTTAACAAACCCTAATCTCAAATATGTTAAATACCTAAGGATTTTATAAGACTTTTTAAAATATCAAATAAATACCTCCAGACTATTAAAGTATTAAAAAGTCTTACAAAGTATAAATAAAATACACTAAGATTTTCAAAGTCTTAAAAAACATTAAAAATTCCAAACCAATACAACTCAAAGTCTTAAAAAACTTTAAAAATCCCAAACCAATACACCCCTCGTAGGGTTTCTCAAACATTGATGTCAAATGTTGATATTTTGAAATTATATGTGTTATTTATTGTGTTTCGGAGTTGAATGTTTACTTTTATCCACAATAATTAGCACTTTCAAAATTATAACACGGTCTATAAACTTAAAGTATAAACTATAAATATAACTAAAGTTTAGTTATAAGTTTTGTAATACATAAAATTAATTATTTTTTGATGATTTTTGATATGACATCATATAGTAAATAAAAATATAATTAATCTTTAAAATTAATATATATATATATATATATTATGTTTTTCTTTTAAATAACATTGATGTTGTATAAATGTGTTGTGCTACTTATACTAGTTTACTTAACTTCATAGTTAAATGTGATATGTTATAGTATAAATAAATTTTCATAACGGTCTAACCATTAAATAACTTAATATCGTAATTTTTTACACTCCTATTATTTTGATATTCTATTGTTTCATTTTATTTCTTGTTCCATTTTTCTTTTCTTTTGTAAGTAAAATATTTTTTAAAATATTATTAAATTTTATTAACATGTAAATTAAAATATTCCAAATGTGATCAAATCATTAATCGCATTGGATTGAAGTTAGTCAAGTCAAACACGATCTAAAACTTAATGATTGATATTTACCATGGTTCTAAAAACCGAACCGGTCATCAAATCGGTGAAACTACTGGTTCAATGGTTCACTGGTCGGACCAGTGGTCGAACCGGTCGAACCAATTTAATTAATATAAATTTTTATTTATTTTATATGTATAATATATAATTATATATGTTTTATTATTAATTTTATAGTGTATGATATTTCTCTAAATAAGAGTTCAATAATATATACAACGGACAATCTTGAATAATGTTGTTAACATTTTTTCTT